CAATGAACCAAGCAAAGTCTTGTTGACTGCTGCCAAGAATGCTTTACAAGCAAAATTCTAAATAAATATTAATATTTAAAAATTTACATTTTAGGCCACCAGGCCAACTGCAATGTGTAAACAAATGTAAAATTGTTAAATAAAAGTAAACAAATTGATGAAAATTGTTTGTTTTCTTCATTTTGTGCAAGACTTTCATGTTGCACAGCGCGTCGTAAGGCGTTACAGCGCGTTGCTACAGGAGGCAATCGCTTCACGAAATAAATCTCCCTATTTTTTGGTTTTCAAACTTGGGATCTCTGCATAGCGCAGGGTTGTAACTGTAGAAAACTAAGGGTGTGTGATAGACATTTTAAGGGTAGGTGGGTGATAGACATTGGTAAATCTCTAAATAATAAGAGTGGATTTTAAGGATGGAAAAGTGGGTTAATAAGGGTGGGTGCCATAAAAAAAAATTAGGTTTAGACTGGGTGGAAAACTGTAAGGCTGCGTGGCTCCACCCACCATAACTAAATCCCTGATATTAGCATTTTATACCAAAACTGTCTCAAAGAGCTCGGGGGTGGACTAGTTTGTGCACTAACTCCCACACAAATATAATCTCAGCATACCAATCTACAATCGTAGCCTCCTACACCAACTGCCAGAATGCTCAGGATTGGGCTTATGCAGTTTAATGGAAGAACTTGGTTCTCCCTTTCGCAACCAGCACCGATATTATGGCTATACATTACGGTGTTTTACCGATTGCATATCTGACTTGCATGAGGTAAATCACTCAATTTATGTGGCAAATTAACCCTCAAATGGCAGAGTACAGTACCGTCTAAAAAAACATCTTTTTTTCAACATTTTAAGTTTGTTTTGAACTAAATAACAGCATTTGGGACCTTAATGCGCTGCAGCAAATTTATATCTTACATTACTATTGGTCATGAAAATGTGAAACTCATCAATGACACAGACGCTTATTTCCCATTTTAACTCGCACATTGCGAAATGCACATGCAAGTTAAAACAAACGTGTTTACCACCAATCTAGCTATAAAGAAAGCGAGTTGAATGTTCTACAAAGCACGTAGTCTAAAAGCAATAGCGGATATGGAAAATTAGTAAAGGATTAAAAGAGAAATGAAAAAATATGAAAGACTCTTTTTTGGCTGGTGCCAGCGGAAAACTGCCCTACATTTCTTTGAGTTCACTGTTATATGGGAAGTAATAATCAGCATTGAATTGAATTTGTTTGTCCAGAAAAGCACATGGGCACCATTTTAAATGTATTGTCTGTGGCAAAAGCTTGAAAACCGTTTAGCTTTGTCCGCAAAATTGTGACAAATAAGTGACACTTTTTACTTTATTTTTAGAAACAATCCTAATATACATTTATCAGATTTGTTTTTTAACCACTATTTATAGTTAGAGGCAGTACAGACCTAAATGGAGAAACAAAATTGTATATTTGAAATTGTTCAAAAGTACATTTTAATCATTTTTCTGTTTAATTTCATTTTTTTTTTTACTTAAGTACCAGCAACACTGAGTAAGAAAATCACTAGTCCCTAGTACAGTATTTAAGGACTTGTTCTTTAATGGGACCACTGTATAATCTTGCTAATAAAGAAAACAGTGATATGCCCATATTTGGCTATACTGTATTAACACAGTAAAACCTTGAACTGAAGCCCTGGGCTTTTTTTGCAACCTTTGAATGGGCTTTTTTTCGAGGTGGCCTTTTTTTTGAGATGGGCTTCCCTTTGGGGCTACTGCAAACTAAAAAGGAGGCTTCTTTTCAAAATGAATGTTGTAAATTTTGTGAATTATTAACTATAAAACAATAAATAGGGCCACTATAACTTCAATCTCTATCATGGAGTGTATTAACTGGCATTAAATCACATAAATTAACGTATAATCTAAGCATGGTTTTTATTAGTTAATTTTTTTTAAAAATTCATGTAGAGTGTATCAACTGTATAATCTCGAAAAGAAGCCATGGTCTTCATTTCGAGATGGGCTTCTTTTTCGAGGGTAATTTTGAAAACTAAAGAGGTGGCTTCAATCAAGATGGGCTTTCTCTCAAGATTAAGCCCATTGGACTTCAATTCGAGGTTTCATGGTATGACATCATCATGCCAAAATTTGGGTACACCACACAAATTTGTTGCATAAATGTATTAGTGTGACAGAGCAATTAAAAGTCCTGTCGAGAGACAAAAACAAATGGTTGTGAAGTGACCATACAGGCACATCATGAACATTTAGGCAAAGCAAATGTGATAATCTTGACAGGGCTTAAGAGGTAGAGCCAAGGAACAAAGGTTTGAGGCACACATCTAGTTGAATACATATAAAATAAAGTAAATATGCTGTTTCAATGAGCAGGCAAGTAATCAGAAACTATGTCCACACTATCAAAATTTCATTGACAAAAAAACTGTTGTATGCCTAACCTGTTGTATGCCTATACTGTATATGTTCATGATATGATGTTATCATGTCCATATATAGGCATGTCACATGTTTTTGTCAAATAAAATTTGATAGTGTGAATAGGGCTATAGTCAAGTTCACGTAACTTTAGGGAGCTCTCGATTGCACGATGACGGTAGGACGTAGAACGAAATGACGTCAGTAAAAGTCATCTGCGCAAGTGAGAACGTTAAGGTCACCTCGTCGAGTAAATTCTGGAACGCAATTTGGCCAAATCTAAGTATGCAGAGAACTTAGGACGCCAGGTAGGACGGTCACGCATGAGTGATTTCATTCTAGCGTCGCCTCGTCGCACAAATCCAAAGCTCCGTTTTGCTTAGTTTTTAAACGTTAACGTATAATTGCCATCACCTATACAGCACAAAAAACATTAATTTATAACAGCAGGTACTAAAGGATGATTTTGTTTTATTATTTTAAACCTTCCTCTCGGATACAGGCAGTACCAGCAGGGTCGGGGAGGGTCAAGCCTATTATAAGAGTAAGATATAAAAAAATTAAGAAAATAATAATAAGTCAATACAGTAGTACAAACAAAATCAAATAAGTAACATTAATCAAATAAATATCATAAAAAAATATAGAAGTATAAAAAACACTAAAAAATTAAGTAAAAAATATATAAATAGCAAAAAAAATTCATAAAAGTAAAATATTAACACATTGACTATCAAGCCTTTTCCTTGGTTACGTCCTATATGCCAAAGCATAAAGGCTGCCACCATGATGAAAATTATTTCTAAACTGTAGAAAAACACGAACAAATATACAGTAGTTATTTTTTAGATCATTATTCACAGCTAGTGAGTTTATGTGCAATACAACAGCGGTATGTTGGACAGGTGTGAGTGAACCCTATTGGACGTCAACTCACGTTCCTGGCAGCAAACATGTTAATAAAAAAGCTAAGCAGATGTATAATACTCACTTCCTTTGGAGGAATGACACGAATATCTTCAAGAACCTTCATCAAAGACTCAATGAGTTCAGTTTTCATAATAGGGTCCATCCCCTTATTGATGATATCATGCAGACAATCACACGCAGATTCACGTAAAACATCAATTCCTAGATAGTTTAATAACTTTCCGACAAACCGGTCATTTGCGATCAGACCAATGTCTATCCATGACACGTAAAGTCCTATGACCTCGATACAGTCACAGGTTAATTCTGGGTGTGACCTTTCATACGTTTCTAGGATCTGGTACCAGGATTCAACGAGCTCAGTCACACATCGTGCACGCATCTCGTCTTTAAGAAGCGTGTTTCTTTGGGCTTCCTATATTTTACAAAAGAAAAGAAAAGAAATTGAAGTGATGATTAATGTTTAAATACTGAATCTCAACAAGATGTCATACATTTCAATATTTGGAGTATAAATTATCTGAAATTATTCAGTGGAAATTTCAGTTTGAGATGAAAAGTTTAAGCCGAAAATATGCATTCATTTAGAACAAATATTAAGCTCCAGGGGAAAATGTTTTCTGCTGTTTTTGGTTCAACTGATTCAGCCAACTGTTGCTACACACCAAACGCTCATCTCACAATGTAAAAAAAAATGATTTGTCCTTTTCCAGTCCCTATTTTTTCTCACAACTAAAATCAACTCCACTCTATAGACCTCAAAAAGGGATTTTGTTTATAAACTATTGTTTAATCTTGTAAGTAGCAAGTGTACTTGTTGCTGGATGTGAGGGAAATACAAAAAAGTAAAAATTCAGGATAAATGATAAATATGGCAATAGTAATAAAACAATATTTATATTGACCGCCAGTGCGTATGTGATCAGAATGTCATGTAATGAATACTACAAGAACATTTTAGGTTTACAATGGTACCAAACACTTTTATAATCACAATCTGTGACCCGTTAACAGTAAAATGAAAATGACTGTTATGCAATTTCGAAGCTGAGATAATCATGATTTTGTGAAAGTAAATCAAAACACTAATGTAAATAAACAATAGTGAAATACTTACAGACTAAATATAGTGTTCAAATTGTTAGTACATGTTGGCAATTACAACATCTATCGGATGTAAAAAAAATCTGAAACATGGAGATCTCCATGTTTGGCGGTCAAGCGTTGTTTTACCAAAAACAGAGATCTCCGTGTTTGGCGGGGAGAGTGTTAATGGAAAATGTGAATTTTTGGTTATGAAGGAAATGAAGGAACAAATAAAAGTGGGACAATCCCACAAAAGAATGTATATTTATGTTTGTATTGTGTATCATGACTGAATATATCATATCGATATGAAATTTACGATTCAATCCCATAATACAAAGTACAACCTACCTCAGGGGTGTGAACAATCTCCCGGTCAACGACCTCAGAATCTATGGCCAATAGAATCCGCAGATACATGTCAACCACTTTGCTACCCATCTGCAACGTGTGCAGCAAATCAGAGAAGAACGTTGGCCATCCAGCCGGAAAGTCGCAGACAAACACCAACGAGAACAACTGTGCTGCTTTATTCTTGATGAAAGTCTTTTCTGGATGTCCAGAAGTAATCTGAGTAAAATTAAAATTGAATATCATTTTTAATAGCTTAGTATCTGTGGTCATGATATCAAGGGTCACAAGTCACTTCCAGGAGATCAAGCACATCTAATTTTATTCTGCTGAGCATGGTCTTACCCATCGGCACTAAATTTCAGGGAGACAGTTGATAATAAAGTAGTAAAAACATGCAATATTGAATTTGCGGGAGATGGGTTATTTTCCATTACATTATTCAACCTTGTAGCAGTGGCGTATCTTGAAATCTCAAAATGGGGGTGCTCATGGGGGGCACGAAGATTAAGAAGGTGGGGGGGGGGGCGCTTGATGATCAGTTAAGGGGCACTAATTCGCAAAATAAAGTGGTTTTATGTGATTTTTAACTACTTGACCGTGATTTCTGGCAGGTGACTAGGGGGCCCCAAGAAAGTTTTGAGGGCCTTGCACCCCCTCCCGCACTCCCCTTTAGATACGCCCCTGCCTTATAGGAGTGTGGGAGGTCATCCCAATTTCTGGGACAGAACCCAAAATAAAGAGACACTTGGGACCCCTGTGATTTTAAAAAATGATGACAAAGGGATGTTTGTAAGAATTAGTGAGAGCCTTTCTTTTCTTCCCTAATGTTACATCCCTTCTAATGGTGTATTGGTGCAACTTGAAACAAGACAAAAATACACACAAGACAAACATAAACATTGAGGCTCTACATAAAAGACTAATTATGAGGCTTAAATGGTGTTTGCATTGTGCTTGTTTGGTCAAAGCTCAGAGCTGAGCAGTTGGCTGAAAGGTATTGTTCCTGCTTCTTCTTGTGCTGAAGACCCCAGTTCAAATCAAGTCAGCATCAGGGTTTAATAGGAGTCTGATAGCTTGGCTCCTCGAATTACCCCTATACTGAAAGTTAAGAGGATAAGAATTATGTTTGTATCCGTATGTGTCCGTTATAGGTTTGTATTTAAGTTGAGTGGGAATTGCACTGTGGCTGCCACAGGTCCTCTTTGACCCAGCCCAAATTACTGACTTACATTTAAAACCACAACCATGTAAAAATAAAAACATTGGAAACAAGTAACATTGCCTTTATATATATAGGAATAACAAGACTGTGTTTTTCTGACCCAACTTCAACACTGCGATTCAGATAACTCTTTCAGATCATGTGCTACAACACATCACTAGATGACCTTTTCGTAGAATGTATTCACGATTAGACTGAACAAGTATGCGAAAAATTATACTACCCGATATGCTTGGTAAAAACTACTTCGTACTTAATTCAAGTTGAAATATGATTTCATGAAGGAAATTTTTGTCCTGGTCAAAATTTATCCAATGCAAACTTAAATTTAGAATAATAATTCAGACTATGACAAGAATTGAACCCAAAACAATAATAATAATACTCAAATATTTATATAGTCCCAATTCCACATTGAATGATCAAAAGCGCTGAGCCCTGGTCACTGGATAACATACAATGGCAAACCAGCACACAAAGTGAAACCTTCTCTCAGAGATCCCAAGTTTGAAAACCAAAAAATAGGGAGATTTTTTTCATGAAGCGATCGCCTCCTGTAGCGACGCGCTGTGACGCCTTACAACGCGCTGTGCAACATGAGAGTATTACACAAAATGAAGAAAACAAACAATTTTCATCAATTTGTTTACTTTTATTTAACAATTTTACATTTGTTTACACATTGCAGTTGGCCTAAAATATAAATTTATAAATATTATTATTTATTTAGCATTTAGCTAGTAAAGCGTTCTTGGCAGTCAACAAGGCTTTGCTTGGTTCATTGGCATGTTAGAGGCTATGGCTGATTTATTACATCTCATCAAAGAACATAGAATTCTAGCAAGGTAACTGCAACTTGCAAGATTCACAATAATGAAATTAAAATTAATTAATCACGTTTGCTGAAAAATTAAAAAAAATATATATATTTTAATTTAGTTAGTAAATCATACTACATGTTTTAAGTCAGCATTTATATATGTCTAGCCTATAAGAACTGGTACATAATGGCATGAAAAAAACATTAAATCCTGCCTCGCAAGGCTCCATCTATACGTGCGTAACTAGGCCTAATACCGCAGAGTCACAACCACCACTACACACACGCCCACCCAACACAACACACATACAGTACATACCCAGGAGATGGGTTATTTTCCATTACATTATTCAACCTTGTAGCAGCGGCGTATCTAGAAATCTCAAAATGGGGGTGCTGATGGGAGGGGGGGGCACAAAGATTAAGAAGGGGGGGGGGCGCTTGATGATCAGTTAAGGGGCACTAATTCGCAAAATAAAGTGGTTTTATGTGGTTTTTAACTACTTGACCATGATTTCTGGTGGGTGACTAGGGGGGGGGGGGGCCCAAGAAAGTTTTGCACCCCCTCCCGCACTCCCCTTTAGATACGCCCCTGCCTTATAGGAGTGTGGGAGGTCATCCCAATTTCTGGGACAGAACCCAAAATAAAGAGACACTTGGGACCCCCTGTGATTTTAAAAAATGATGACAAAGGGATGTTTGTAAGAATTAGTGAGAGCCTTTCTTTTCTTCCCTAATGTTACATCCCTTCTAATGGTGTATTGGTGCAACTTGAAACAAGACAAAAATACACACAAGACAAACATATACATTGAGGCTCTCTACATAAAAGACTAATTATGAGGCTTAAATGGTGTTTGCATTGTGCTTGTTTGGTCAAAGCTCAGAGCTGAGCAGTTGGCTGAAAGGTATTGTTCCTGCTTCTTCTTGTGCTGAAGACCCCAGTTCAAATCAAGTCAGCATCAGGGTTTAATAGGAGTCTGATAGCTTGGCTCCTCGAATTACCCCTATACTGAAAGTTAAGAGGATAAGGATTATGTCTGTATCCGTATGTGTCCGTTATAGGTTTGTATTTAAGTTGAGTGGGAATTGCACTGTGGCTGCCACAGGTCCTCTTTGACCCAGCCCAAATTTCTGACTTACATTTAAAACCACAACCATGTAAAAATAAAAACATTGGAAACAAGTAACATTGCCTTTATATATATAGGAATAACAAGCCTGTGTTTTTCTGACAGGAAAGGTCCAACTTCAACACTGTGATTCAGATAACTCTTTCAGATCATGTGCTACAACACATCACTAGATGACCTTTTCGTAGAATGTATTCACGATTAGACTGAACAAGTATGCGAAAAAGTATACTACCCGATATGCTTGGTAAAAACTACTTCGTACTTAATTCAAGTTGAAATATGATTTGATGAAGGAAATTTTTGTCCTGGTCAAAATTAATCCAATGCAAACTGAAATTTAGAATAATAATCCTGACTATGACGAGAATTGAACCCAAAACCATAATAATAATACTCAAATATTTATATAGTCCCAACAACCTTCTCCGCTCCCTGGGTTGTATACCTAGTCATGCACTACTTGCTTAGCGCAAGAAACTAGTACATTCAATGCTACAACATCCTACCAGGTACTCATTTATACTCTTGGGTAGAGAGAGACAAATGTAGATAAAGTTCCTTGCCCAAGGACACAAGCGACTTGCACAGCGAGATTATCAAACCCCTGACCTCAAGGTTAGGAGTCCAAACCACAACCGATGCGTCATTCCATTGAAAAGCAAGCATATTAACCATCAAGCAACAACAACTATAGGTTTGCAACTAAAATTCCATAAATGGGGGAATCCATGTGACACCGGTTAGTGTGTATTACTTTCCAAAGTCCAGAATATAATGCAAGTTATGAGAGCACACTGTCTTTCTGTTGAGACGTTTATTTGGTCCTATGTGTATTATGGTCCATGTGCACGCTACATAACGCAGTTCACTCTTCAAAAAAGAGTAGGGTATTGTTTCCCAATGTACTGCCCAATCACCACCAAAAGGATCTCACTGGAAATAAGTCTTCTTCAGACTTCTGTGAGTTGTACTTGGTGTTTACACCGAATAAATCCATCCATCTGGACCACTGGGGCTAGCGTAAACCAGAACACTATAGTTAACTCCAACTTTTCTCAAAGGATGTGCAATGAAATTGTATGGACACAACACAATAGGCCAACTGTTCTTATACAAAAAAAACAAACTTGAGAGGACATCTTAAGAAAGAGGGAGAGAGTTAACTTTAAACCTGCGTCTATGGCAGCAACATGTGGATCTTTTATATACAGTTAGAGCGTTGAAGATTCAACTCGCTGGAGGTAATGGGAGTAAAGTGTCTTAACAAACAACTTAAGCAGGTTCTCGAACTCTAGCGTTTTCATACTCAACAATTTCCACTGCCCTGTCTCGCCTTCTACAATGACAGCAGAGATGATGGTATTGAGAATGATAGTCATCGATGGTGGTGGTGGTAGTAAGTATGTGTAATGTTATTATTTGGAAGTGGAGTTAAATAGCATGGTGGTTAAGATGCTTCCCTTCCAATCCCAGGGTTCTGGGATCAATTTCTGTCTTACAGGAGATTTTCTCACAACCAAAACAACTCCACTCCCTAAACTTGATATTGGGATTTTGTTTGTGTAAAGCATCATGTGTGTATTGTGTTAAGAATGGAATTGTCACATATTACAGTGACATATTTCGCTATTGACAATCCTTGGTACATGTATTGTGTGCATAAATTAATAAAGAAATTAAGATAGTAAAATGATGATATTGAGAATGTCAGTGATTGAAAATTGTGACTAAAAAACAACCACATTTTCAAGCATATAACAGTGACTTGGTTTATAAATGAGAGTATTGATTTAAGCCATATGTCCCATAAGGGACCACATGGGTAAGTAAATAATCATTTAAGGACACAGAATGATGAAACTTCTTGTTAAATTTGGTGTTTTGAAAAAAATACAGATGGGGTGACTGACCTTTAACTGTAACCAGTTCATCAAGATCTGTCGAAGGTGTTGCTGGTCCTCAGCAGTACTTGACTTAAACCTGTAAAATGGAGATTTCTTAGGTTTATGACAGTCATGTAGTCCTTTTGAGGATATAACAATGACAATAGATATAACAAAAATACAACAAAAATCACTATCATTATTGTACATTCATCATCATGATAAAATTGTCACTATTATTGTCACTCTCACTACTGCCACCACTACCACCAACATCAGCATCAAAATCGTCATCACCATGATTATCAATATCACCATGATCATTGTCAACAGAGACAAACAAAAATAAAATTAGTATATAGCGCCCTCTATGTAAAAAATTCATGAAAGTACCCTCTATGTTATTTTTTGAAATTGTAGTGGTTGAACTGCAAGTGATTACAGTTGTCAGTCAGTTTAGCTTCGTTAAAAGAAATTTATATGGCTTGTATTCACTTCATTTTTATGAAATTGATGGTATCATCAGCCAATAAATTTCATCTTTTATAAACTTTCTATGATGCCTGAGAATACAAGGTATTGTAGGCATGAGACGTAAAAAGTGGACGCTCATGCACGTGACTCGCGCATTCACGCACCAATGCATGAGAAGTTGGCATGGGTACACCATCATCACCATCATCCCATCACTAAATAAACTTAAAAGGATCACCTGGTCATGATGAAGTGCTCCAAGACTTGGAAGCAGAAAAAGGAGACATTTTCATCAGCAGCCCCTTTGTTCAGGGTCTCCCCACAGAGCTTCCATCCATCTGGTGACTGCTTAAGTTGTTCAAAATAACCGAGAACCTACAGATATGAACATAAGTGGAGTTGTAACTTAGGAAGTTAAGGTGCTCTACGTTCAAAATATTAAAATAAATCTGCCAGCATCTCTAGGGAAGTAAGAAGGAAAATACAACCATTCCTAAAAATGTATTATAGTATAAAATTTAAATGTTCTTCTTGGTTGCATAATACAAGAAAAAATAAATATTTTCAACTCTTAGTCGACACACTTTCTATATTTAGCTCAGTTGGCTAATCTGGTGGTACCACTGTGTGTGCGCTGAACCGTGGAGATCTCTAGGTCCCCGGTTCAATTCCCATCGTTGCCTCTCCTTGTGTTTTAGCTGGAGGGCTGAAATACAAGTTACAATAGCGCACCGTCTTTTGGATGAGACGTTTAAGCCGTTGGTCCCATGTGCATTTATGGCCCATGTGCATGTTAAAGAACGCAGTACACTCTTCGGAAAAGAGTAGGGGATTGTCTCCCGGTGTACTGCCCAATGACCACCAGAAAGGACCCCACTGGAAAAAAAGTCTTCTTCTAGACTTCCTTGAACTATCCTTGTTGTTTACACTGAATAAATCCAATCCAATCCCGACTATGATATCACAATGAGCGAGATACTATCCCAAAACTTACCTGTGCCTGTTGGTGTGGGTCTGTGTAAACACCAATACTCTGTATCTGAAGAGGATCCATACTGCATTCTATTTCATCTTACGACACTGAAAAATACTAGAGGACACATTACATTGAATAGAGCCTGATAAAAGGTCAAAAATGTTAATATTTTTTTTATTTGCACTTGATGACATTACACATAAACTTAAAAAATTATTTAAACAACTAATTATTGACTAAAGTATAAGCTCTATTCACCAATCCATGGTTTCTTCTTTCAAAATTGAGGATCAACCTTCATATTTGAAGGCTTCAGCATTTATACGGATGTGGACTACTGATTCTCACAACTTGCTACTCTCCAAGAGTCCTATTGAGTCATGTCGCTGACATGACACCATCTTGTCGATAATACAAGGTCGATAATAGGTAAGGAGCTTTCGATTCTACAACAAAGGTAGGACGTAGAATGTAATGACATCGCAAGAAGCCATCAGCGCATGCGAGAAGTTTGTGCAGAGAATGTCAGTCACGGATAAGTGAATCCAATTGTAGTCCCTACCCCGCCCCCCTCCTCCCGGACCCAGGTCCTAACGGGGCACCAGTCGGGACTGAGCCAGGGATGTACACATAGTTGTGTTTTGATATTGAATAATTAAATTCTACCAATCAGTTATTATTCAATCAATCATTTTCTTTTTATATGATCAATCTGTCAATCTGTCTCCTTTTTATACACTTTTCCAAACTTCCATAGAAATCTGCTTCAGCGATATGCATGCGTAGTGTTTCCATCAAGCAAGCTCATCTACTTGGCCTAGCTCCTGCCTAGCTCTTTGATTTAGACCTAGACTAATAGACCTTCGTAGGTCTTATCATCCAATCATTTATTAGCATTTTACCAGGACTACAGCGGTAAGTGGCGGGGACTTAGCCGGGTGTACGTTAAAACGATGCCCCGCATTGCCGGTACTTTCACGTGCATGTAACTGTTTTGAAAATTGCATCCCCGGCTAAGTCCCCGCTAGGCCTGGGTCCGGGGGGGGGGGGGGGGGTCGGGGAGTTCAGGACTTCAACTGACAAGTGCATTACAGTAACATTGTCACATAAATCAAAAGTTCCCTAATAACAGCAGCTGTAAACACATGTAGACAATCACCTCACAATTGAAGTAGGTACATCAAACTGGTGATCTAGGTACTGTAGGGACAAAGTAGGGGCACCAAGTTTACAAAGCCACTTCTGTGAGGTCTGCTTTATTGAGCTTTTTTCCTGTTTTATACCTCCCTGCTGAGATTTTAAATTTGTAATTTCCAGCATGATTTAATTTTTTTTAAATGTGCATTCCTCTTGATTCTGAAAAAAAATTGTTGAACGGCATTCTACGAAATCTTTCGAAACCGACCTCATGTCTTACCACTTACCGGTGCAAACCAGGCTAGGGGCCTAGGCCTATAGTTCCTATCATCGCAAAGCACGTACCGGCTTGCAGTACACGGTCCTATCAAGTTGACGCAGGCGATATGCCTGGACCCAGTCCTATCCTAGGCCTACTGCACTGGCGTACCAGTTTTCTTGCTTAATTATATACTCAAAAGCCTAAACTTAACAGTTGTTTAGTTTTATACCTGTATATGGATGATGTGTTCCGCAGTTTCGAGAATTAATTCCGATACTTTCATGAAGGTTAATTCACTGTTTTTGGGCGTACGCACAGACAACTATCATGTTTACGTACAATATGAAACGTGTTTTCCTTTCATGGAAAACGCCCTCATTAGGCCTAAAGGAAAGGGTAATGAAATCGTCTGAAATTCTGTGATGCGTAATTTTACTTGGATTACTCAGCCTCTCCTTCTAATGAAAGACCCCTCTTTTGGGAACTATTTTGTGGTCCCAAATTAACAATGTTTTTTTTATTTTTATTATTCTAATTAGACACCAAAGATGCTAAAAACTATGAAAACCCCGGTCCCAAAAGTGTTCTTTAATCGGAGGGCCCTGTAATTCAAAATTTTGGATTACGAATTCGGAAAGTTTTGGATTACTAGTATGATCCTAAATTTTGACCTATTCGAAAATTTCAGTTCAAATATCATATAAAAAATAGCGAAAAAAGAAGGCTCAAGTTCATTCTTTATCAGTAACATATTGGAGAAACTCTTGTGCAATTTTGTCATTGATTTTGACTTAATCTTTTTTTCTTTTTATATATTTGATTGTTCCAATTTTTGATTGCTCACTAGTATTTTAACCTTTCAACTTTTTAATTTTTATCTTTCCAATTGTTTTTATCTTTGAATGTTTTACCTTTTTTTTTAAATTGTTTTTCTCCATTTTAAACTTGTTTGGTGTTTGACAATGCTGTTTTTTTTATCTCAGCGGATCCTGGCCCATTGAAAATGAGCCAGTATTTGCTAGCTTTTAGAACAACGTTCTCCATCACTCTGTTTGCTTTTAGGTACAATGCTGTTTTTTTATCTCAGCGGATCCTGGCCCATTGAAAATGAGCCAGTATTTGCTAGCTTTTAGAACAACGTTCTCCATCACTCTGTTTGCTTTTAGGTACTGTTTTAATCGTTTTACTCTTTTGCTTTCTTTGTAATGTTTTGTGTGTTGGAGAAGCTAATAAATTTAAATTTAATTCAAGTCAATTTTGACTGTTTTGCAAAATAATTGTAAACAGGGGCGGGTCCATAATGTCCGAAAAGGAGGCGGGGGGGGGGGGGCTGATCAAGACAGCNNCCCTAGGTCCGGGCAGCCCATCTGGGTCCCCTTGAAACCGCCACTGGTATCCATCCATTGGGGCGAAGGTTGTGAAATAAATATTTGTTTATTGAGTATTGATGAAAGCTTGGAAGACATAATAAATCTGTACAAACTTGGAATGGTTTATGCATCTGACAACCCCAAATTCTAATTGATTACTGTGCATATTGCCATTCCTTTGTTGTTTTTTTGTCTTTAATATCCACAGGATTTTGAGGCTTCTTCTTTTAAATTATAAAATAAAATAAATTAATGCTAATGTAGGCCTAATAATAAAATTGCATTATTACCAGTTGAAAAGGATTATTTTTTTTATTGTAAAATGTAGTAGGCCCTATGCGAAAAAGAATCATTGTGCATCTGGTTTTACAAGATCTAGGGGGAGTTTAGCTATAACTTTCAAGAATATCGAATAACCTTGAATTCTAAAATGCACAGAATATAAATAATATCTGATTTTAATTAATGATGTCTCAACTGTCCCAGTTAAATGTTCAGAAAATTTACACTAATTATGTGAAACTTTATCTAATTATTCTTGGTTCTTCATTCTCTTGTTAACCCTTGCATGACATCATCTGTTTTTATGTTTCTATTGATGTATTTTATGAGATAATTCGTTTTTGTTTGTTCACATTTTAAATGTATTTTATGTATTTAAACCAAATAAATTCAAATAATCATTCTGTAATCCAAACCTGTACAGTTTCCTGTTACGAGTATTATGTGTTTTTGAATTTCTGAATGAATGTTTGAATGAATTTCTGAATTGTTGAAAGAATTATTTCTAATTATTATTGCATGACGTTGCATTCATATCAAGCCTATCTGTTATTATTGCTATTCTTATCATTACCAATCAAATCTAACCCGACAGCATTGCCTTCATCAACGTCTTTGATAGACAGGAAGGCAATCATGGGACCTTTCACTAAGCTCCGCCCCTTGGATATTGTTGCTAAGGTTCCACAATAGACTCTAAAATCGATTAAATAAGCCTTTGATACCCCTAAATTGTTAAAATTCTTGGGGGTTTCGCCCCTGGACCACTTTCCAAACCTTTTAATGGAAGCTCGACCACGCCCATGTTGCTTTCGTCGGGGAAATCTGACCCCTCGTCGGGGGCATCGGCCTCCTCGTGGGGCATCGGCCTCCTCGTGGGGCATCGGCCTCCTCGTGGGACCTCGCCCCCCCCCCCACGTCGGGCAAATCCTGGCGCCACCCCTCCCGTAACCCCCTAATGGATCCGCCCCTGCAAGACGTACGGGTATGTAAGAGACGCGCGTATTCCTTGTCCTGTTCTGTTGTCAAGTTTTATAACACTCCAAAAAGGTCCACTGTAGAATGCCTGTCCTTCCACTTGATTTTGAGTGTTGATTTTTTTTTTCCTTTTTTTTTTTTTTTGCAACATACTGGTTTTTCCATTCATTATATCTGAATATGTATAGCATCACTAAAAGTGAAGGATTTGTTAGAAGAGTTTTTATGTTTAAAGACCTAGTACTGTACTGTATCTTTAAAGCCATGAGTTTATGCATTATTTGATGATAATGTTTTCACATGCGATTCAGTCCCTCAGTTGACCCATATATTGTACATTATGCTTTTCAGGAGTCTGCTGTTCACAGTTGCTGGTATTTTTAGTGGCGGATCCAGGAATTTGAAATAGATGGTGCCCAAAGAGGGACTTTCACAGATGGACAGTCTACACTACCTTGTCCCACCATGGTTGGGGCTGTGGCAAGAAAATTCATGATTGTGGCATCTCTAGATGACCGGAAATGGCACTCTTAGACTCAAAACTGGGGAGGATTGGGGAGGAGAGACATGGAAATGACCCGAAAAGAGGGCCAATATCATACTTATGAGCACAAAAGTGGGCGGGGCTTCTCAGAACGCCTCTAAGATGACAGTTTTAAGCTGTAAAAAATGCATTTCTTTTCTCTCTCCAACAAAATGTACTTCTCCTGCACAGGGGTGGCGCCAGAGGGGGGCCTGGGGGAGGCTATAGCCCCCCCCCCGTCGGGGAAGACGATGAATTTTGTCGGGGAACAAACAAATAAAAAAAAATATTTACATGTAATATTCGTTTAGCCACCATATCGTTTGTGTTAACTTTTCATCACAACAACAACCACAATAACAATAATAATAATAATAATAATAATAATAATTCAATGAGACTAATTAAAAATAATTTGCGTTCTGTTATGACAAATGCTCATTTAGATAGCCTCATGATGGTTGGAATACAGGAACCTCGACCATGACAACGTGGTTGACAGATTTCATGCAAAATTTCCAAAATATAGAATTTCACTTTCAAGAATGAGGATTTGAAAATAAATTAGATGGTTACATTGCATACTCTTTGTTTCTTGCTTTATTCAAATGTTTTGGTTTTGGAAGCTAATGTCAACATTAGAAAGCATAGCCTACATGAAGTCATATTATAGTAACTTGATGCCTATCAAATAAGTAATAAAAATTCGCCATAATTCATCAAATAACCGTGGCTTCCAGGGGGCTTCGCCCCTGGACCCCAGCCAAGTGAGACTCGATTCGCTCCACTAGCCCCCCCCCCCGTCGGGGCCTTTAGCCCCTCCGTTGGGCAGGTCCTGGCGCCACCCCTGCTCCTGCACCCTGATAGAGGGTTTTGGGTGCAGCAACTATAAGTACTAAAGTACTGTACTGTTTATAGATAGGAAATTTGCAGAATATATAAAATTATTAAACAAGATTAAATGTATGTATGTAAGAAAATTTATGGTTATGGCACCTCTAGATGGCCGGAACTGGTACTCTCATACTTGAAATTTGAAAATAATTTTCTTCTTTCTCCAATTTTTGATAATTTTGAAAAATTTAGGAGGAGGCCAGTCTGGCTGCGCCACACCCCCCCCCCCCCCCCCCCCCCCCCTTTCCCCCCCCCCCCCACCTTTCAATTTGCCACTGTGTATGTTGAAACATATACACACAGTCAGGATTCAAGATTCAAGAAAAAATTATTGTTCATTCAAAATAACAGAAATCATCTGAAACAGAAGTTTAAAGTTGGAACTCAACTGAATAGAACTTATACCTTCAGACAATTTTAAAAGCCCCTCTATCTTCTATCCCTTCTGCCATTTAACATAATCTTTATAAAATGTACATTGACACACAAGTTCTTGAATTGGAACTTTATTGAAGAATTGCAAATAAATGGTGCATGACATGACTTTCTGATCGTATATTTCAACAGTCATTCAAACATAATTTTACAAAGTATGGTAATCTAAAGGCTAAGTTTTGTTCCAATATACTGTACTATAAAAAATCTGTTTACACAATTTTGAGACACAATTGATACAAAACGCAACCTCAATATCTACACTGTTTATGCAAATAAATGGTGCATGACATGACTATCTGATCGTATATTTCAACAGTCAATCAAACATAACAGTTTTTACAAAGTATAGTAATCTGAAGGCTAAGTTTTGTCCTAATATACTGTATCATAAAAAATCTGTTTACACAATTTTGAGACACAAGTGATACAAAACGCAACCTCAACATCTACACTGTTTGCATTATCAATTACACAGTATTGTAATATTAAGGTAGAAATCTTGTTGGCTTATAAGATGTTTAAAATGCAGAAGTTAAAGCCCTGGTTCTCAAAAATGTGTGAAGACTCAATTCAGTTCAAGTTTTGACTCAAGTTTGGACAATTTGGTTCATCAAAACGTTTCTGAGGGTTGCCGATTCATGCTAAACCGAAAAAAAAAATAATTAAGTTTAGTTTAAGTCTTGTCAAACCAAAAAATTGGAAGTTGTGCCCCAATATTGCACCAATGTCATATACCATGTTTGTAGAAATATTTTTAAGTATTATAATTGTAAAAAAACATGTTCAATTTTAATATCAGAGGGTTATATCTAGGCAACTGTGCTTAAAAATGACAACATCAAAGTAGGAACATGGGTTGGAGAAAGGGTGGGT